GTTCCACAGTGAACAGTGAGCAGAGACAGAAAAGCTAGGCCTACGTCCCACCATGATGGAAGCCAGCTGCTTCGGCCTGCTGGGCCTCGTGGGCTGTGTGGGAGTGGACGGAGCACGGCCAGAATCTGCCCAGAGTCCCAGGAGAGGAAATCAAGGAAAGCCCTTTGCCCCATGCCCTCAGCTTCTATCGTTTCTGCTCAGGCTTTGGGGCCCAAGATGAACAGCAGACACCAGCTCAGGCAGTCCTCCGGTGCTGAGTTAACCCCCTTTCCTACACACAGGCTAGGCCGCTTGCCCAAGCCACACAGCTGAGTCCAGAGAGCTTTCTACCGAAGCCGCGCTAGCCGCTGGCCTCTTCAGCTCTACTGGAGACACCCGGGCTCCCACGGAGTGAGGATCTCTCCCATATGGTCAGAAACTCTCTGCTCAGGAGCAGTTAAGGCCCTCCTGCCCAGGGAGTTGGGGCTGGGGTTGCACACCCTCTCTGGGTCTGACTGTGAGGGGACGGCAGAAGCACTGACCCTTCCCTTCCATCCGCCCCACCCCTACACTGTCCTAGTCCCCCGGGCCACCCCAGACCAGCAGCTGTGGGGATATTCTCTTTCCCTCCAGAGGCTAAAGCCCTGAGGAAGGTCACAGCAGGCCTCCTGGCCTTGGATCCCGCTCACTCGGCTACTCCAAGGGGTGCAAGAGAAGTCACAAGTTCAAACACTGTGCAGCAGACACAGCTCGTGATTTACCTGCTTCTCGGGAAGCAGGAGCTGGTAGTGCCCTGTTCTACAGCAAAGGAAACTGAGACCAGAGGACAATGACTTGCCCAAGGTCACGCAGCTTTAAGAACTGTGCTGCTGCTCCCATAACCCGGCCAATCACACGCTTCCTCAGTGGGGGCTATGCTGGACTGTGGACCCCTCTGTTCTCTAGGAGTGGCCAGACAATGAGGGATGGAAGAGGGTGTCCGCCGGAGAGGGGGCTTCGGACCTCCCAGGCCTGGCTGCCTCCTCTAGGAATCTAAGGGGGAGTGGGCGGGGATTCTCTGGGCCTGGTGCAGAAGCTGTCCTGCATGGCCTGGGGCTCACCCGTAGTCACTTGGGCCAAGGGCTAGGAGAGCAGAGGCCCACAGGGAACAGGCCTTTCCCAGGGAGCCCCGCCCCTTAGGCAGAGCTGGGGATGGGCTCCAGAGGGGCCTCCCGAGCCCTCCCGCCCTCCCGGACTCAGCCTCAGCCGGACAGCACCCCCTCCCAGTCCCTTCCACTCCCAGCCAGCTCCCCAGGAAACAACATCCTCAGCTTCCTTAAGAGCCGATGGATCCCGAGAGGAGAGCACACTCCATGCACAGACCCTGCCCCTGGCCCTCTTCAAGCTTTAGCTCATTTGTTCCTCACGGCCCTATGAAGTTGGTACTATCCTTGCTTTACAGTGTTAAATAAACTGACTTCCAGGGAGGTTAAGAGACTTGCCAGAGTTCACACAGCAGCTAGGTGGGGTGCAACCCGGCAGAGTCCAGAGCCTGCGCTCTCACCTGGTGCCCTGCCACTTCCTCCCAGGGCTGTGCCCCTGGCCCGCCCAGCTACTTGGCAACACCCCCCAGTTTCACGAATGCCTGTGAGACCGCGGCATCTAGGCCTCCACCCCTTTTGCCGGACCTAAACTTAGAACTCAGTCCTAGAAAATCAGTACCAGGAGGAAGCCTTCAGCCAGAGGAACTTTAGTCCAGTGCTTCCCTGGAGGTCCAGAGCGGCCCTCCCCCAAGAGTCCTCAGCAAACCTCGAACCCTGGACTTCTGCTCCAAGTGGCATGATGCAAACAGGCCTCTGGTGGCAGAACATTCTGGCACCAGCAGGGGTGAGGGCACAAGATGGGGCTTAGAGCGTAAAGTGGGGCCAGGCCCAGAAGTCCAGGTTCGCTTCAGTGCTGAGCCCTGGAGCCCCAGACGGATGCTGCCCTGCTTGAGCTGTAACCGCCTGGGAGCCAGGGAACATGCAGGACACACAGGCAAGGGTCACCGCTGAGCAGACTTTCTTCTAGCTCCACTCTGCGCCTACAGAACCCGATGCCAGGAGCAGGGGCACGGGCTACATCACGGAGTGAACAGGAAAAGCGGGGCTGGGTGTGCTGGGGAGAAATGCAGGCATGGTGGGCGTGGTAGCGCACACATGGCAGGAGGATCGCCGTGAGTTCGAGGCCAGCCTGGGCTATACGGTGAGTTCAGGGCCACCCTGAACTACAGAGCAAGACCCTGCCTCAAAAAAAGAAAGAAAAGAAAAAAGGAAGCTTCTTTGGCTCTGGCCTATGGGTGCATTGCCTGATTTTTCAAAAGGACCCTCAGGGGCTGGGGATTTAGCTTAGTCAAGGCAAGGTCCTGAGTTCAATCCCCAGTACCACAAAAAGGACCCTCAAATCTTTTCCTTTTGGGGGGAGATAGTACTGGGATTGAAGCCAGGGCCTTTGTACTAAACTACATCCTTTTTTTTTTTTTTTTTTGATACCAGGGCTCGAACTCAGGACTTTGCACTTGCAAGACAGGCACAGCACCACTGAGCTAAACCACCCCCCCAAGCCCTTTTTTCAATTTTTTGTTTTGAGATAGGGTTTCTCTAAGTCATTAAGTTACCCAGGCTGGGCTTGAACTTGCAACCCTCCTGCCTCAGCCTCCCAGAGTGTATTACTATTGTCTGGTTCCCAAATCACTTTTACAACTTGCTTTTTTTTTGGTACTGGGGATCCAACTTGGGACCTTGCACTTGCAAAGCAAGAGGCAGAACCACTGGGCTAAATCTCCAGCCCTCCCAAATCACTTTCGAATGTGAAATCATCCCTTCCCTCCCCACAAATTTTTTACCACTGACAACAAATGCAAATGTGAAAAATCCTGGATCAACGGAACTGTGAGCTGTGTTTTATAACCTGTGCCATACGAGACACAGAGCTCTGAGCGTGACAATTTCAATGTGGCACAGGGATGACACCGCCCTGGTTTCCTGGAGCTGAGTCTAGATGAGCAGACTCTGGCGGCACACAAAACACATGCGACGTCCAAGTCACCAGCCCACCCCGTGCCAGCCAAGGTCAATCAGAAGAGGAAGTGGAGAAAGAATCTGGGGCTGAGCCACCCGAGTGGGCTCTGGGTCAGCGGAACAGAGCCTGGTGAGCGTAAGACAGGCAGGGGCGAGGAGGAGGAGGAGGCTGGGCAGCTACTTTATCCTGCCCTGAGTGGGGAGCCACTGCAGTCAGGGGACGGGAGGTCTTCCTCTAACAGTCTTCCCTGGTGGCGGACAGTGACTCCAGTGTTTGCTCTCCAGCCTCTGGTTCCACTCCCTTGCCTGTGAGGTGAGTGACAAGGACCCAGGCTCCAATTCCACGGGGGAAGTGAGGCCCCGGAGATGATGCAGGCACACCTGAGTGCTTTCCTTGGTCCAACCTGGATCTACATCTGACCTGCTGGCTGCTGAGTGAGCGCGGGCTCTGTCATCCTCTCTGGGAAGTGCCATGTGCTTGCCCAAGGTCACCCAGTCTTCAGGGCAGCTGGCTGTACCATAGCCTGTGCTGAGGACAGCTGCCTCAACTGTCCTGGGATGTGCAGGAGGGGCTAGAAGAGGTCTGACAGGAAGTGCCCTGCCCTCCCCATGCTTGCCCATCACAACTCAGCCACGGGCCACTGCCAGCAGCAGTTGGGGCGGGTGCCCAGATGCTGGGAAGTGGGGGAGAAGAGGTGCCAGCTGTCCAGGTTCAGGGTCCGCAGGTCTGCAGCAGCCTGGACACCAGGCACCTCAAGGGTGGGGGCAAGAACCGGACAGCCCAGGGCACCCCAACTGGCCCAATTGAGCAAGGCCTGGGCAAACTGGGACCAGCCCAGGGGTCCATGATAGAGGAACAGGGTGCAGGGAAGAGGACCCTGATTCCAGTGCGTGATACAACACAGACACTAGTGGAAGGTTTGAAGGAATGAACAAAGGACTACTGGTGGGGACACCTGTACCGGGCACTACCTACTGAGCGTCACTTTATTATTACCTGGGTTCAGCACCAGTGCCTGCTTGCAAAGGGCTCAAAGAGAAAGCAGGAGGGGTTTGACGCAGGGACCCAGCGTTCTCTTGGTGTGGTCCAGAATCTGGGGGGCATCCTGGGGTCAGAGCCTCACTGAGGGCTGGGTTAGGAGACTGCTGTGCAGACTCCCTGATAGCTAAAGCCAGAGCCTGCAGTCACCCTTGCTTGTCTAGCACACACTGATCCGACCCTAGGTCTGGCCCTGGCTGTGTGGAGGTCAGAAGGGAGGACTCTGGCTTGGCCGTCCCTGGACACATAGGGACAGAAGGTGCTTTGACCTGACTTGGCTCCACCTAGATCACCTCTCTCCCAGGATCCACTCCTTCCTCCAGGGGGGCTGCCCCCTCCCGGTCCTGCAGGGATAAGAGTCTGGTCAAGTGAAAACCTATGGTGTGGCCTGGGTGGGGAGCAGGGCAGTCAAGAGAAGAGAAGAAGGGATCCCACTCACTCTCAAACACACCCCTTCCTGCCCTCTCAGACAAAGACACACACCCAAAGCTCCAGTCGTCACCCAGAGCCACACACTGCAGCCACCCTCACCTGCGGACGCCCCAGGTTTTCTCCTGGGAGGGGGGGACTTCCTTGGAGAACTCAGCCTGGCCTTGGGGGGAGAGGCAGCATACCCGAAGGACCTAGGGTCCAACACTATGGACTCAGGTTTTGGGGGAGATGCTCCATCCTCTTTCCCCTGTCCATGGAACAAGGGGTTCCATCACTACTCCCTCCTGGGGCCCGGAGCTGCACCCACACCTCAGGGACAGGGTGTAAAGTGGGGGAAGGGAGGGGAGGAGGGGGCGGCTCCTCAAGCGAGACACAAAGAGACGTCCTTCAGCCGCGCTCGATGGCGACGCTGGGGAGGGAGAGCGAGCCTCCAATACTTCCTTCCCCACCTGCAGGGCTCTAGGGACCACGGCTACCGCTCACCTGCCACCCCTCACCCGGGCCAGGCTTACCTGGGCTGGGGCCGCGGGGACGCCGCGGCAGGGGGCCTGGGCGCCGTCTCGGTCTTCGTCAGCCTGGCCCGGGGGGGCTCAGGGCGCCACGATCATGGGCTGAGATGCGAGTGGCTCCGTGGCCCGGGTCTTTAAAGGGGGTCGTGGAGGCTTCTTGCTGGTGTGAACTATCTCTTGCTGTCCTCGGGTCCTGGATTTGGGGTTTCTGTGTTCCAGAGTTGGGGGGGCAGGGCCCCCTGGTTTAGGGGCCTTCGGAGCTGGGTCTTCGTGTCTTGAGGTGTGGAGTTGTAAAGACCGGGATCACGGGAGCGGGTGTCCGCGATCCCGGACGGGGGCACAGCATTCGGGGCCTCGGGGGCAGACTGAAGAGGGCGTCCTCGCCGGGCGGTGGGGAGGTCGCCTCTCCCGCACACAGGAAGTCTCCGCGATCCCCGCGGAGAGATTCTCGGCGTCGGATCCGCGCCCCCTCCCCGCTTTCCTGGCGCTGGCTGGACCCTGGCTGTGGTGGGGGACCCGCG